ACGCAGGTAGTTACTATTGGGTACATAATCTCATCGGTATGATCCCTCCTCCTGATCTAACTTTCATGGTTATCCACTTATCCTATTATGCTTTTATGTTCTTTAGTTATAAAAATTAACTCATAAGATTATATCGCAGATATAAGAATAACAAACAGTTGACAAATAGATTAAAGGAATTTGCGAACATGAATATGAATTATAGACTACATATTAAGTTAACTATGAGAGAGTGGATGAATTAAAAAAAAACAAAAAACAAAAAAATAAAGAGGCAAAGAGGATGCAAGGCGAAAACGGCGTTTCGTGAAACAAAACCATGGCTTTAACAAGACTATTTTTATGTAAACATCGTCGAATGACGAATTGACGACCATTATCTTTGATTCGTTTGCATGTTGTAACTCGTTTAAATAATAATTGTGGCGATCAAATTTTTATTTGGACGTCAATATAGTCGATGATATAGATAATGTGACAATGATTACGAAAAGGATAACACACTTAAGCGTAACACATTGTCCACAACAAAATCGTATTATACCCTGTTAGTACAGTTGCAAAAAAAAAAAACTCGAAGAAATAGCTATAAACTAAAGTGAACAAAATTGCTAATAGTGAGAACATGTTAAGTAAAACTCGGTTTTTTTTAATCTCTATTTATCTTGTATCGTCTAAACACATCAGTGCAACTGCACAAAAAAAACCCAAAAAGCTAAATAAAGATGCATTTCAACAAGTTTTCGTAAGAATATTGTTTAATAGAGGCATCTAAAAATATTTGCCTAAAAGCATGTTTATCGGCATCTCTTAACCCATCTCTTAGCAATTTTGGGCCGATAAATAAATGAAAAATAAGTTATTAAGCGAAAAACGTTTCTTATTTCGCATTCGATAGAAACGTTTCTTGACGCCACATGTCGGATCTTGATTGGATGATGAAATGGCGACCCAATTTTTTTTTCCCTTTCCCATTTCTCTTTCTTCCTCGACGAAATCTGTTTCGTCTCTTCCTTCTCTGAATCGCCTCACCGCCTTCACCGATTCTCGCCGTTTCCGATCAAAGAGACGTCTGCCAAAGCTATATTGGGATGAAGATGTGAAAGGAGCTTATCTCCCGAGAATATGGGTGTCTATTGAGAGTAAAGAAACAAAAGAAGATGAAGATCCAAAGATAGTTGAATGCTATACAAGAGAGAACATTGGACCACGTTAACTGCTGGAGTTGGAGAAGCAGAAACTCGAAATCAAAGGCAATGATTTGGCCAAGCGGGAAGCACACAATGAAACCCATTACGGTTTCTCTATTATACCAAAAAAAAAAAAAAAGATTTCTTAATAAATCTCTTAACTTAACAATATTAGTTTAATAATCCCTAAGAAACACATCTGTGTTTCTCTAATAAACATGGTCTAACCTTTATTTACATCTTAAGAAAACTACTCAATACTATTAGAGCATCATTATCGCTTAGAAACAAATGGTGTTTCTTAGCATTATTTAATGCATTTAGTTGGATTAAGAAATATGTATAAGAAACACTTATTTTTTGTGGTGCATTGGGGAAAACTCTATATGTGTTTCTTAAGCATAAAAAATATATATTTTTTATTTAAAATTAAAAAAGTGTTAATTATTACATTCTTAACATAAAAACAACACAAACATACATAAACTTAGCAAATCAAACATTTATTAATCAAATTTATCAATACAAACTCAATTATTGCATGCTCCACCAAATCAGCTTTCAATTGTAGATGTTGTTGCTTATCCTTAATTTTTTTCCGAACACCCATCATATCGGCTATGTTTGAAGGCATAGATGTTTCATACGTGAGATCCACATACGAACTCCTGCTTCCTTCTCCATTTTGGAAACCTGAAACGTCAAACTGTCTGTATCCATCTCTTTCGTCTTCTATTATCATATTGTGGAGTATGATACAAGCTCTTATAATCTTTCCTACTTTAGCTTTATCCCAAAACATAGCTGGATTTTTAATAATGGCAAATCGAGCTTGCAAGACTCCAAACGCACGTTCGACGTCTTTTCGATAAGCTTCTTGTTTTTCAGCAAATTTTCAAGCTTTTTACCCATGTGGAAGTTTAATAGATTGGACAAACGTTGTCCATTTTGAATAAATACCATCAGTGAGATAGTATGTTAAGTTATACTCCCTTCAGTTGACAGAAAAATTTGCTTTCGGAGCGTGACCTTGTATTATGTCATCAAAAACAGGTGAGCGGTCAAGAACATTGAGATCGATTAAGGTACCTGGAGGTCCAAAAAACGCGTGTCATATCCACAGATCATATGAAGCGATCGCCTCTAAAACGATAGTAGGTTTTCCTGAACCACATGAATATTACCCTTTCCAAGCGGTTGGGCAATTCTTCCACTCCCAGTGCATACAATCAATGCTTCCTATCATTCCAGGAAATCCCCGTTACTCTCCAATATTAAGCAAGCGTTGCAGATCCTCTGGGGTTGGTCTTCTTAAATACTCATCACCAAACAGATCAATTACTCTTTTTACAAAATGTTCCAAACATGCACGAGCCGTAGTTTCACCCAGACGGAAGTATTCGTCCACCGTATCAGCCGCACTGCCATATGCCAAGAGACGAATGACAGCTGTACACTTCTGAAGTGCAGACAGACCAGGCCTTTCGAGAGCTTGTTTTTAATCAATGAAGAAGGAGAATAAAATGGGAGAAGAGAACATCGAAGATGAAGATATGATAAAACAATGGGTCATTACTCCAAATATATAGACGAGTGATATTTTACATGTGGTGTGAAATATTCCTTTCATTTTGTGGTCTCAAACTTAGGATAACAAACTTGTGGTATGAAATAAAAATAAACAAACGACAAGCATAAAAAAAAAAGACAAAGACTTGTGACATTGTCTATTGTTTTGTTGTACCCACCATAACCCAACCTTTGTAATTATGTGCCGACAATAGTTCTCAACCTGAGACACAAAAAAAAATCACAAACAAAGTCGAAGAAAAACAATTAGTCATTTGTTGATAAATTTATCTATGAGATTGCCATCATGTTCGTTTGCACACACATCGAGTATTCTGCAATATAAAACTCTAGAGGACATAAATCAATATTAAGAGTATGACATAAAATCAACAGATTATGTATACAAAGAATATTATGACATAAAATCTAACCAAGTCTATCTGGTTATACAAAAACTAGAAGTTCTTATCAAACAGGTTTATGTATCTTACATGAGTGCAAATCTTGTCTATAATGATACAAACTGTCTCATACAGGTTTATGTATCATACATGCTAACCGAGTGATAGAAAGACAATGAACAACATACTATTACACAAACAACATATTACAACAACATAATAGAAACACAAAGACAGTTAACAACAACTTGAGATAAAAAAAAACAGAGCAAGAAGCAAACACCGATCCAGAAACAGAACAACAACTTAAGTTAAAACATTAAAACAAACTTAAGGTAAAACCTTAAAACAAACACCGAACAAGAACAGAACAAGAAGCTACATCATTTCGGATATGAGCGTCTTCTTTAGAGCTATCTCATAGTCTTCAAGTGGCACCTTTTTGGCTAGAAGACTTTCAAGTATAGCCATCCTTGACAACTGTTTCTTAATTGCCAAGTCCTTCTCTTTCATTTGCCACAAGGACTGAAACTCAACCACAGGAACCGTCGTATCTACGTTGCTCTTCTTTGCTTTGGCTTTTGATGTCTTCGCTCCTGGAGGTCTCTTGCTTCTAGTTTCATCATCACAAGCATTTGAATCACCAGCCATGTTACTTGCGGATTGTGAGGCATCTTCACATCTTTTTTTTTGAGTTTCCATCTGTTTTGCTTGTTGAAAGTTCAGACCACTTCTGATCATTCTTCAGCTCCTTCCAAGCATGTTCTATATTGAACTTCTTCTTGTAGTTGTTATAGAAGATTTCATGTGCCATCTTGAGAATATCATTCTCATTCATACCACTTGTTCTCTCTCTCGTTCCAGCTTCATATGCTCCACAAAATTTGCATACTTGGTCATTTATTTTCTGCCATCTTTGCTTGCACTGGATGACCCCTATGTTTTCACAACCAGCAGCATTTGGTGAAGCAGCAAAATACTTGGCTATGCGTGTCCAAAACGCACCCGATTTCTGCTCATTACCCACAACTGGGTCTTTACTCGTGTTTAACCATGAGGAGATGAGCAAAATATCATCACTTGGGCTCTACTGCATTCTTCCTTTCTTCTCTGTTCCAGGTGATGCTTCACCAATGCTTGCAGCAAACTCAGAGGTGCCTTCAGCAAAACTAGAAGCATAACCGCAGAAGACTGAGTCTTGTTGGCTGTTGAAGAGTTCAAAAAAGTTGAAAGATGGAGGTGCAGAAGGGAAAACCATAGGGTTCAAGGAAGAGGTAAAGATGCCAATAAGCAAAGATAAGAAGGAGAAGCACAACCCAGAAGAATGAGAGGAAGCAAAGAGAAGAAGGAGATGAAGCAAAGACAAGAAGGAGAAGCACCACCGAGGCAATGAGAGGAAGCAACGAGAAGAAGAGAATGAAGCAAAGAGAAGAAGGAGAACCACCACCGAGGCAATGAGAGGAAGCAAACCAGAACAACAAGGAAAAAGAAGAAGTTTTAGAAGGAAAACAAAGCATAAAAGCAAACAAGCACCGGCTTAAAAACAAGAAAACAAAGCAGCATTTAACTAGAGCAAAGAAAGCAAACAAAGCAGCATTTAACCAGCATTCAAGCACTATCTAACCAAACAAATCCAAAAAGTTTTCCAGCATTCAAGCCATGTATCTAACCATATTGACTAGACATATATCTAACACTAAACTCATCAGTACTCCATTTATTACATTAGGCAACCATTATCTACACTAACTAGGTATTTATGATCATCTAACTGAATTGAAGACATACCTTAACAGCTTCATACCGCCTTTTATGAACTCAATCTCCACGAGCCGAAGCAGCAAATAGGTTTACAACCTTTGTTCCGAGCTGAACCTGCAATAATGTAGACACAATATTAGACTCATATACCATGACCCATTAACATTACACTTTCATGATCACAGTTTACTACTATATCATTCAGTAAACTTGGATAATTAATCGATTCTCAAACTAATTCATGACATATGTTGAAACTAAATCCAAGATGAAACCGATGGAGAGATTATGAAAATCAGATGGTGATATACAAGCTAAAGGTAGCCTCCCTCCCTTTAACAATTTCAGTTACTCCGACTAAACAAATACAGGACACAAAAAGCAATCAAAATCAGCATCATAAACCCAAACTTATCTGTCAAATCGAAGGAGAAATCGACGAAGGAGGGTTTAGCCGCGTTTCGGACTGGCAGAGACGACCATGCACGCCGGAGAAGTCGACGAAGAGATCGAGTTGTGGTTAGAGCAAGAAATCATCTCGACGAAATTCTATCTGGTTTTTTTTTTGATTTTAGCCAAGAGGTTCGTCGAACCCAGGACACAAAATAACCGAGAAAATGTTGTCCCCAAAGTTTTTTTGTCACCGATAGCTTTTTAACCATTCAGGTGTTGCCACGTTGTTAATAAGAAACAGATCCTTCTGATGCCAAATAAGAAACAAATCCTTCTTATTAATGGGCCTCACCTAATTTTTTAATTGCCATTAAAGTCTAAGAAACAACATAAGAAACAGCGATAATGCTGGTTTAAAAGCATGTTTATTGGAGAAACCCTTATAGGTTTCGCCATATATATAATAGTATTAAATTTAAAAAAATCCATTAAAAAACTTGATTTTTTAGGTTCATTGGAGAAACTCAAAATATAATTTTTTTTAAAAAAAAATTGATCTATTATAAAACATGAATGATATATAAAAATTTGCGTTTGAAGCAAATGTGATCATAATCAAAATGACATTACAAATTTACAAGGATAATTGAATTATGATCCATAGCTCAAAGATGGTCTTGACCTATTGAAAAAAGCGAGAAGAGGTGTTACCAGCGAATGTGTACAAACCATAAGGATGTCCTCATAACCAAATATTTCACCTAGTTCTTCCCCATAGAACTTGTAAACTAGCAACCACAAGTGAGGAGTTCTTCCCCGTAGAACTTGTAAACTAGCAAATTCTTGGCTCAAAATGATATCTCTAGTCAAAATTAGAAGAAGCCAAAGTGAGGAGTTCAAATTCAGAGAAGCATTTCAGCAATATGAACAGCGTTTAGAGCAGCTCTTTTGCATATTTGATCTCCACAAACGAAAACATCCAGCCTGAATTAACAAAGTTATAGCCTTCAACCGAATGAAAAAAAAACTAATTTGGTCCAAATTCAATAAAAAAGTGAAGAGACAGTTTGTGAACCGAATCGTCGGCGGAAGACAGATATCGTCCAACCATAAACGTGACACTTGTTTAAGAAGGATCAATCTTTATGATCTAAGCTATTTTTTTTTTTTTTTTGGGCCATTAATTCACTAAAAATCCAGGGAGAAACCCCCAATAAATATGGTCTAAAGTATTAATCTGTTTCTTAAAGCTAAAGAAACATCCCTCTGTATCATCAAACCGCGAATCTTCGACCGAATCCATGAAACGTGAATCTTCGGCCTTGATTTGGTTAATAATACATACATTGCACAAATTCTAAATGAAAAAGTCGGCCCAAATTCCGGGCCCAAAGTATAGGCCCAATATTTAGATATTACCCACGCGCGTACATCGAAGCCGAATCGCCGCTTCCTCCATCATCTCAAAATTCAAAATCACTCGAGTGCCTGAAGCTCATCATCGATCTCTTCCCAACAGTATCTGTCAAAACGTATCTAGGGTTTCTCTGATAAGCAGGCGAAGAACTCATAAATTTCTACAATGGTGAGATTTTCTGTGTTTTAGTTATCCTAATTTCGAAACCCTAATTTACTTTTTATCGTTTTTTCCAATCTTGCTTTTTTGGTAGTGCTGTTTTCTGGTCTCTGAGTGTATTACTGTGTGATCAGGGAGGCGAGGGCGAAGATCTAGAGCCACTTTTTGACTATCATCGTGTTCAGCCGGCGAATTTCGTTTGCATTGACGGTGAGTTTCAATTTTTGATTTTGGTGACTGAGCGCGAATATAGAGATGAATTCTGGCTTTGAACCCTTGCAGACGACGATTCTGATGTCTCTGAGGTTCCGGTTAAGAAGAAAGCAAAAACTTCCCAAACGGTAAGAATTGATCTTTATGATTTGCTCCGTCACTGAGCTCTGAGAGAATTTTGGGAACACATTAGTAAATCATGGTATTTGGTTGTTGGGGAGCGTTAGGAATTTGAAAGTGTTCTTTGATTCATTTTTGCGGTTTTTCTTGGTTCTGTTTATGTTTATTGTTAGCTTTGGTCCACTGTAATCGACGATTCAAGGTTTTGTTCTTCACAATTCTGAGTCTGAATCTTTTTATTGGCTTGGCATTTATGGTATATTTTGGCTTGAGTAAAGTCACACCTGTCTTTCTTTTTTTGAAACATTGAGATTTCCTTTTGTATAGTTTGTAATTGAAGATGAAGATGTGAAAGTGATTGAAGTGGCGGGTGATGATGATTGGTTGCCTCCTCCGCCAAAGGTTGTATTCGAGAAAAATAAAGAGCCCGGTGAAGATTCAACCATTAAAGCATTGAGGTAGTTTTGTATGGTCGAGTATCTCTAAGCTCTATGATTCCCATGTTGCTATTAGAAGCCACGGTTTTTTTTCTATCTTCTCTTGGTTGATTTCACTTTCCCATGAAGCGTTGAGTTTTGATCCTGCTAGCTTTTGTTTGTTAATGCGCCCTGATGATATGATTTCGTTTAATGTAGTGTCGTTTCCTTTTTACTCTGTTTTTGCTATCCCCAACGAGTGTCTTTGTTACACTTTGATTCTAAGTTCCTAATTGAATTATGCAATGTAGGTCGAAGAAGATGGAGCTCATGACATTCACGAAAACTGTAGTGGATGTGATGCAGGAAGCCGAGGAGTCTGCCAAAAGAGAAGCTGAAGTATCAGTCAATCGATCTCCAGAGGCTGCTACTCAGGCACCACCAGGGCCTAATGACAGGGCCAAGCTTGTCCTTACAATACAGGACAAAGATGGGCAGAAGCAATTCCGGGTGTATGCGGTAAGTTCTCTCACTGCTTGCGACTTACTAGCCAACCTTGCAGTAGCAAAAAGCTTACTATCTAAACTTTGCATGCTATAAGTATACATAAGACTTGGCTAGTACATCACTGCTTTGATTACCCTCGCTAATATCCCCAGATAGCAAAGTATTTCGAGCTTTCTAGAAAATCATGAGTATAAATAGTCGAATGAAGAGATCCTTGAAGGGGTTGACGATTTGAGAAGGGTTTAGGGGATCTTTTAGAGGCTTAAGGATTGTAGAAAAAACCCAGTATTTGTCTTTCCTTTGGTTGGTTTCTGATATACACTTTGATTTCATCTAATAGAAGAGAGAATAATTTCTTGTTCTTATCAATGTTTCGTCACAACATAGCATATATACACACATAATGAAATATTGGTTGCTCTTTGCAATGTACTATGAGCAGCACATTATGCTTTCTTTTTTGTTATCTCTGTTTAATTTAGCGTCCAATCCCTTAGATTTATAGAGATGCTACGGCCTCTTTTTATTTTCTAATTCACATGTCCAAACCTGATATGCCTTTCCTGTAATATATGAGATGCCTTTGTATACTGATCATGTTGATTTGGTATTCTACCATTATCTTGTAGGATGAGAAGTTTGAGCGGGTTTTCAAAATGTATACTGATAAAGTAAAGCTCGACCCGCAAAACATTGTATTTATTTTCGACGGTGACAAGATTGATCCATCGACCACTCCTTCTAATCTTGAGATGGAGGAGGGTGATATGATTGAAGTACACACCAAAAAAAGATGACAAACAGGTAACTGATAAAGAAGTCATCATCTTTTATTGTATAGTAAAGTTCATTATCTTCCAATAGATTCAAGATTCAGGATCTAATTGGATTCGGTGGTGAAGCTTTCAGCAGACTGAACTCACGCACCTGCTTGTTGCATCGGTCTGCCAAATTTGGTGTGTCGATCCAATTCAACTTTTTTGAAGACCAGAGTTTGTACATGAGCATGAGCATGGAAGGAATCTCTGCTAAAAGACTCTGGTGTTGTATCAATGACCTTTCACATTTTATCTGAATTTTTTTTCCTTTCCTAGTTTCTTTCATCGGTTGGATAACATATTCACCATTTTTGTTTTAGGAGTGTCCAATATATAGCTAAACCGAACCATTTTGATCCTAACAAAACCGAAGAAATCCAATCTCAACTTTCTATCTCTTGAAAATCTTAAACCAAATCGAGCTGGAAAAAGAAAATTTGATCTGAAGCTTAGTTTTCTACATTTTTTTGATAACAAAGGTGATAATTTTGAAAAAAAAAAACAAAACAAAAAGAAAACATAGGAAAAAATAGTGATAATCTTTTTGATTTCATGTTATTCCACTAATTTTTTTACCATTGAAAAACATTTTCAAAACTAATTTCTAATTAGGTGTTTAGTCCGCGACTTGCGCGGACCGAAAAGTTTCATTGAAACCTAAAATAAAATTTTATGTCATAAATAAAAAATAATTAGATCAAGAATTTGATACATACAAAATTAAAATAAAGTTAACCTATAAAAGTAATCATTGGTTAACAATAAAAACTTTAAAATCAATACTAATAAGTGTATAAAATCAATAAACACAAACTAAAATAAGATTAATATGAATTATTCATATTTTTCTCTTTTTATCTTTTAATTTTTTTTCTCTATCATTTTTTTTTGTTTTTTTGTTTTTTTTCTTCTTCACTTTCTATGTCTTTTTTTTTTTACTTTTTATTCTGCTGATTTTTTTTTCACGTTTTCTTCTTCTTCTCCACATCTTTTCTTTTTTCCTTTCATACATCTTTTGATTTTCTTCTCTTCCAGGTTTTATTTCCATTCTTCTTCTTCTTCAATGTTTTATTATTCTCTTTCTTCTTCTTTTTTTCTTTTCCTTTTTCATTGCCATCGTCTTCTTCATTATCATCGACTTTCTATTTTTCTGGTGTTTTATTCGGCTTTTAACTCATCTTCATATTCTTCTACTTTCTCCAATTCCTCATCTTTTAAGGTTTTCATCCAATTTTTTCTCTTCCCTATCTTCTTCTTCTTCTACTTTGTCTTCTATTTTTTTTCTCCTTCAACAGATTCTTATTCCTCTTCTTCCAATTATTCTTCATCTCTCTAAATTCTTCATCATATTTTAAAGATCTTTGCCTTATCTGTCTTTTTACTCCTCTCATGGTTTCAATTTTCTCCTTTTTAAGTTTTTTCTTTATACTTTAAGGTCTTTTTTATCGTTATTTTGTTTTCAAATTGGTCCTTCTATATTTTTCTTTCACCTTTTTTTTTTACTTCTTAATTCATCTGATTTGGCCTTTGGTTTTTTTCAATCCAAATTTACCTTTTTCCTAACTTTTGTTTTTCTTTCATCTCCCAAGTTTTCTTCCATTTTTAATTATTTTTTTTTCTTTCCACTTCCTCTACTATCCAACTGGAATTTTTCTTTATTTACTTCCTTCTTCTGATAACCTTTTGTCTGCTCCAATTGGTCATTTAATTTTTTTTTTTATCGTCATCGACCTCTCCGACTATTTTTTTATCTTACTTGTTCATTGTATTATTTTTTGTTCATATTATCGTTGTTTTCTTATTCTTCTTCTTTTTCTTTATTTTTTAGCGTTTCTATTCTTTGTTTTTTCCTTCTTATCTTTCATTGTTTTTGACTATTTCTTCTTATGTATTGTATTAATCTTATTTGACTTCTTGATTTTTTTTTCATTCGGTTTTTTCTTCGTTTTTTTCTGTTGATTTTTTTTGTTTTATTTGTCTGCCCCTTCTTCTTTGTTTTATTTTATTGTTTTTGTATTCTCTAAACTCTTATTCTTCAACATCTTCTACTATTCTTCTTTTGGTTTTATAAGCCGTTTTTATCTTCTACTTTTAATTTCTTCTTGATCATTTTTGTCATATCCAAACTTTTTTTTCTTTCTAATTTTTGTTTGTCCTTTTTGCATCTTTACTTTCTTCTTTTTTATTTTCTTTTTCATCGTCGGGTTTTCATCTTCTTATACTTTATTTTCTTCATCTACCATTTTTGTTCTTCTTTTTCTTTCAGTTTTCTTCTTCAAGATTGAGTTCTTCATCTCCGGATCCTTATCATTTTTCTTTTTCACTATTTTGTGTTACCCATCTTGATCTTATTGTTCATGGTCTAGGACTTTTTGTTCATTTTTTCCTCATTTTTTTACGTTTTCGTCAACTCTATGCTCTTCTATATGTTTCAGTTTATCTTTTTCTCTTCTTTTTCTATGTCGTTTTCCCTTTTTCTTTTTTCTTTTTTGGTTTTTTCCTCTGAGTCCTGCTAGAGTATTTGGCATCTCTTACATTATTCCAAAAATAAACAGAATTCAGAAAGCCATCTTTAAAACAAGCAAAAAAAAAAACAAAAGACTTAAAACCTGTTCATTAGACAATGAAGATGATTTATGATAAGTTGACATGGTTTCAATCACGTTAAGTAAGGAAGAATAACTGACAACACAAAACAACAATATATAATCGATGAACACTACTACTGGTACTGAAAAAACGGAAAAACATTAGTAAAAAAAGAAAAATTGATTTATAAAAAATAAAGACGGTAAACAATACAACAAAAAGCCGACCAATGTAGAAACCAAACCACAATTGAGCTTAAGATACATTTAAAAAAGTAATATATTTATATATAGCTCTCAACTTAAGGTAAGATTTCCCACATCACATGTACATTTTTTTTTCAGATAATCTTGCTCAACAGATAATCCGATTAACGAATAAAGGGGAATTAAAAAAAATTTTATTAACGAATAAAAGGGAATTAGTTACCTAGATAGAATGAGAGACATTATAGCGAAAAATTTACTTTGCATATATTATATATGATATGATTCTAAATATTTTTTTGATTAAATTCTAATTTTTAAATTTTTGTTATTTTCTATTTAAATATTTTTTGATTAAATTTCGATTTTTAATAATTTTTATTAAATTTAAATGTTTTTTGATTAAATTTCGATTTTTAACAGTTTTTTTATTAATTTACGATTTATAATATTTTATTTAGTTACGATTTTAATATTTTTATTTAATTATGATTTTTTATATTTTTTTAATTAATTTACAATTTTTAATAATTTTGTTATTAAAATTAATTTAAAAAATATAAGAAGGGGTAAAGGGTAATTAGCCACCCTAAAATTGAATGAGAAAGCTTTAACTCAAAATTTTACTTTGCTTATAATATTATGATGTGTAATCACTTGGTTACTTTAAAATTCCTTAAAAGAATTTCAACAAATAAGACTGAATCAATGGCTGATCAGGTAGTCAAGTGTTTTTTTTTTTACCAAACATGGCGATACTCTTTGGCTTGTTTCGGTTAGGTGTATCTTTCAGTTAGAAAAAGTATTTTGTTCGGTCCGGGTTGGCTACAACACGTGGCTAGCTCTTATTGGTTACAAAAAGCTAAGCTTTAGGATGATGGGTCGAGAAAGAAAACTGTCACAGTGGAACATACGTCCGTGGCTTCCCCATATCTCACGTGCATAAGGATAACGTATTCACCAATACGTAGGTCCCACAAAAATCTACGTGGCTTAGACACGCCAGCATAACAAAAAGAGGAAAAAAGCCGAACCGACGATATTATCAGATAGGAAGTTCCTAAAAACAGAGAAAGCTGTGTCACGAATCTCTCTGATTTTAGCTTTCTCACATAACTCTCTTCAGGTAAATTTTCCTCTTTTTTATTTATTTATTATTATTTTGATTTCAATTGTATTAACTGTGTTCGATCTGTGATATCTGAGCGATTACAGACTAACTTTTGCTATAATTTTTGATATTTTGATGAAACAGGGACGAATCTTCTCATAAGTAATGGATATTTTCTCGAATCCAAAGGATTTTGGGTTAAAAAAAAAAAATAATTGAGAAAATGGAAAGATTATGTGAGTTTTGCAAAGCATATAGAGCGGTGGTTTATTGTATAGCCGATGCAGCAAATCTTTGTCTAACATGTGATGCAAAGGTTCATTCAGCTAATGCACTCTCAGGGAGACATTTACGCACGCTTTTATGCGATTTTTGTAAAAAACAGCCTTGTGTTGTTCGATGTTTGGGTCACAAAATGTTTTTCTGTAAAGGATGCAACGACAAGGTCCATGGTAGTGTCACGTCTAAGCATCATAGACGTGAAGTGAGCTGTTATACGAGTTGCCCTTCTGCTAAAGATTTCGCTGTTATGTGGGGTTTTCGAGTTACAGATGATGATGATGCTTCGTTAGAGAAATCTTTTTCAATGGTTAAACCTAAGGTTTGATTCTTTTTTTTTTTAGTTAATGTTCTTTTGAGGTTTTGTAGATGATTTTTCCATCTCTCTGTTTAGATGCAAAGAGAAGCTGGTTATATCTTGGAACAGATTCTTGAACTGGAGAAGATTCAGCTCAAGAAAGAGAATGGTGGTTATTCATTGACAGAACAAGCTGAGCCTTCTCCATTGGAGCTTCCACAACAATCTGAAGATCGATTAATCGATCTTTCACAGACTGGGAAAGAGCTGATTGTTGACTTTTCACACTTGTCTTCATCTTCCACACTTGGTGATTCCTTTTGGGAATGCAAAAGTCCATTTAACAAGAACAGTCAGGTTTGGTTCTGTTAGTATCATTACTATCATATATATAGTTCTTTGTGGAACCATTTAGTTAGTTACATGATTAGCTCTGTTTCTTCAGTTGTGGTATCAAAACCTACAAGACATTGGAGTTTGTGAAGAGACAGTTTGCGATGACGATGACTTCCATATACCTGACATTGATCTCACTTTCCGAAACTTTGAAGAGCTTTTTGGAGCTGAACCTGATCCAACTGCAGACAGTAACAACGTCTTATTTGTGGGAACACCAGCTCGCAAACCGCGTGAGGTTTGAGAATCTTCCATCAAATATAGAGTCTACTAGAGCAAATCACTCTCGTTTAATAACCATTATAAATGTTCTAGTTATATAACCTAAGGTCTCTCTCTACTTTTTATGTATGTGTGTGTGTGTGTTCAGATGAAGACATTTTCTTTACCATTCAATAATTCCATATTTGCACCAGCTTCCTCATCTCGTTCATTCTCAAGTTCCAACGAAGGAGGAAGCAGTCACAATCACTCAGAGGAAGTAATCTCTTTTTGTTCCCCTCTCTCTAACAATGCACGTTCAAACGCCATCTCAAGGCTCAAGGAGAAGAAGAGGGCAAGAACGTAAGTCTTAACACAAGACGGTCTTCCTGTTAAAGTTATACAAAAGAGTACAGTATATCTTAACTTTTTGATAATTCCTTATTCATATATTTTTCTTGATTCAGAGAGGAGAAACAAGCTTAGTATTGTCCCAAGAAAGCACAAAAGATAGTCGCGGTACAATTGCATAGCTACTGAATTGCTACATCTCTTTGTTCATCACCATAATGCCTTTGTACATAAGATACTAATCTAGCTGTTCATCTTATTTACGTAATTCAGTTTCTTGCATGCAACTGTGAATGAAGCCTAGTTCTTGTTAATGATTTATTTGTTTCACCATCCAATTTGTAATCACAGGTTTGCACCAAATTCCACCAGAATTTAACTTTATCCGTAATGTTAAATCAAAAGGTTACTTAACAAACAATGACATTGACAATGATAAGATAGGAAACAGTGTAAATTGTAAGACTTGTGTTACCAAAACCATAATTGTTGTTTTCATGAATGTTGACAAGACCATTAAAAGGGGTTAGTTATAGTTGTGATGAATAAGTAAAACCCTCTTTTAAAGTTCCACTATCTTGCAAGTTTTGTGGAAAGACCAATCTTATCCCTTGAAATAATCTTCAAAATCAAGCAATTAGTTGAAACAAATGATTCGTTTAACCATAACTGGGCCGGGTTATTAGTATTTCCAGCTACTATGGCTTCTCCTAATTATTATTGTCAATAAAGAACACATTACTCTTACTATCTACATCCAATATTTTAAAATTCATATGATTATATCAAAATAATCCTCATAAAATGCTCAAAATATATAGTGGCACAACCGTAATTATAGCTTAAGACTGTAAAGACTCTGACTAGTTTCTCAACTTCACACGGAGAAACCTTTTACCAGAGGTGATTCTTTCTGTTAGTTACTTCTAACAACCACCAGATATTTCCATTAATTAATTATATATTAAAAAAAATCCTAAAATCCTTCTTCATAATTTCCCTCCAAAGAGGTGAGCAAACCCAGGCCTGTATAAATAGCTAGTAGCGTTCTCTCTCGAGCTAATTTCTCTGTCTAACTTTGATTCTCTCTCTCTAGCGAAAAATTTTCCTCTCAATTTTCTCGGCAGTTTCTCTCGGATTTTCCCGGTAGTTTCTCTCGGATTTTCCCGGTAGTTCTTCTCTACTCCAGGTAAATTTCTACTGCCTTGATCGTCAATTTTCACTCCGGATTTCTCTTTGATTCTTTCGTATCAATTCGATTTTCACTCTCGAAAAACTAGATCTGGATTTCTTTCAGTTATTTTCCGCGATTTGTATAAACGAAGACGATGTTCATCGAAATCCGAATTTCCAATTATCATTTGCTTGAAGAGATTTCGTATACGGTTGCGTTTTCTTCTTCGCGAGATTTATACTTGTGCCGTTACAGATGCAGAAACTTCCGATCTCTCGAGCTTCCTTCTCAATTGATGATAACTCGAATCCTTTTTTCGCGATTGCAGAACAGAACCGCCGGAATCTCACCGAGAACCATGGAAAACGAAATCGCGCCGTATACCTACAGCGGCAGCTCCGCCGGCGTCGTAGGAATCATGAAACCCCAAGGAGAACCGTCCGGCGTCGGCGTCGCTCCGCCTTCTCTCTTATGCGACCAGCTCTACAAATCCAGCCGCAACGTCATGCAGCAGCGCCAAGACATGGTGAATCGCGAGGCGTTGTGTTACACGCGCCTCCACGAGGCCTCGCTTGAAGCCGAAGTGCTCCGTCTAGAGAACGCCCAGCTCCGATCGATGAATCGTCACCTCAAGACTGAGCTTGACCAGCTGATCCGATCCTCTATCCAGAACCGCCTCAATCACGACAGGGTTCCGCTTCGGATGCTTAGCAACCTCTCGATCGGAGGGAATCACGACGCCAACGGAGCGGAGAATCAGAACCGTGCGCCGATTCGAGATGAAGTCAGCGAGGAGAGTCCGACGAGTGTGATTGAGAACGAGGACGTGAACCGTTCTTCGCTACCAAAGAGCATCTCCGTGAGGTCGAGCGGTTACTCTAAGTCGAGCCAAGGAGGTGGTGCTGCTCAATGTGGGAAATCTCGTGGAACTTTACCTAAGCCTGGAACTTGCGGTCAACAACTCACTACGACGGTAACTAACTATCTTTGTTTTCTTGTTAGGAGATTTTGCCTTAATTAGTAATAAGTTTGGTTTAGTGATTTGGGAATCATCATTGATACTAAAGATTTGGTTATCTGATTACAATCTGCGTTCTTTAGAAGATTCCATGATCCTCGATTAGAAACTCAGTGTTGGTAACAGTTGATCTGTTCTGAATTCATCGCTGCCTGTACTGTTTATTCATTTGTTGGTGTTGCTTTCTGCTGAGAAACAACATTATCCACAACTTACGTTTAGATTTAGATTGTTTGAGCAGGATAAAGAAACAAAAGAAGAACAGTATTGATGATGTTTGCTTTCTTTGAAGTCTGAACTATAGATGTCAAGATTAGTGGTGATGAATGAATGAAATGCAGGAAAACCTGTATCTAAGAGGTTGCTTTACTTAGAGTCGTTATAGGAACGATTCTGGTTTAGTGTTTTGGGAAATAGGTAATTTACTGAGACACTGTATAGACTTTTCTTAACTGATGAATCACAGAGCTGCATATCTGATTCTTTATATAATACCACAATCCTCTAATGGTGATGAATGAAGGGCCATGATTGGATGAAATGCAGGAAAAAAGTATTTCTGAGAGGAGGCTTTAATTAGAGTGGATATAGGAACGATTTTGGTGTCAGTGTTTTGGAAAATAAGTAGTCACCGAGACTATATAGACTTGTTTAACTGTTGAATCTGAGCTGCGTATATGATTCTTTTTATATTGATACCACAGTTTTCTATTCCTCTGCTTAGAATTTAAAGATGTAAGGATTAAAAAGTGATGAATGAATGAAATGAAATGCAGCAAAAGGTATATGTGCGAGGAGGGAAGAAAGAAGAAGAGGAAGAAATAGAAGTGGAGGTGTACAATCAAGGGATGACAAAGACAGAGCTATGCAACAAGTGGCAAGAGACAGGGACATGCCCATATGGTGACCATTGCCAATTCGCTCACGGCATTAAAGAACTCCGCCCAGTGATCCGCCATCCTCGTTACAAGACTGAGGTTTGCAGAATGGTTCTTGCCGGTGATGCCTGTCCTTACGGCCACCGTTGCCACTTCCGCCACTCTCTATCTGAGCAAGAGAAGCTCATGGCTGCTGGTTTCAAACCCAAGTCCTCCTTCAAGGTGCTTAAATGACCTGACCCAAAGGTAAATATCAAACAAAGGTTTGAATCATATACCTACCTATAATTGAACAGTACTATACCCACGTACAGAGATATTCATAGCTACTATTCAAATGCTTTGGCAAATAGCTTTTCGTAAAGAGTGAATAATGTTGCATTCGTAATAGAAACTCTCTGGAGACAAATGGCTGTTTGACATTTTCTCTCCACTATACTGAGGAACATTTGCTGGTTATTCAGATGATCAATGTTTTGTTAATACATAGAAGATTTTAAGCCTTTTGGATGCGTTTGTAATATTGAAAAAGCTTCAACAATGTGCGCAAAAACAGAGGAAGGTTACAAAAATCTGAACGGGGGCTTAAATAGAGGTCTAATTTAGGGCGCAAGGATTCAATGTTGTGTATAAATGCATCTTCTTTAGAATTTTTAATGGAAATCTCTAAAATGAGAGTTTTTGATAATCAATGTAAATATGCAACGTATCAAGATTTATGTACACTTTCACCTCAAGCATATAGTTAGTGCCGTCCTAAACTTTTTAGTGGCTTAAAGCATAAAAAAAGATGTGGCCTTTCAAATTAAAAAAAAAATATCTAAAAATATAAATTAATGGTAAAAAATACTCAAAATAACAAAAAATTGTAAAAATCCGTAAAAAAAAACAAAAAATTGTAACAACATAATTTTATTTTTGAAAAAAAAACAGATCTTGTAGCTTTCCTCCCAACAAATTTATTCATAATCTTCTCATAGTCGAGTTTATCAACCATATATTTTTCAATAGATATCACTGATAATCCATTTAGCTTTTCTGGTGACATAGTTGATCGTAGATAATTTTTTATCAGCTTCAACTTTGAAAAACTTCTTTCTGCAGAGGCAACTGAGACTGGACTTGTCAACAATAATCGATAAGCAATGCATGAATTTGAATAAAAATCCTCCATTCCTTTCAAAAAGTTCAATACCTCTGTCGCCCTTTTGATTTCTATAGGTAAACTTTTCCTTAGAAGTATAAGCTTAGAGCATAAATCTTCTCCGTTTACATCTGAATGTGCACCATGCCTCAAAAAATCTTCAAGCTTAACACAAGATTCCATCAAATCATCATCACTAGCTGATTTAAGCTTCTTCAAATCAAACAGAAATCCAAAAGTTTTATCATAACTTTGGAATTGTTCAAATCTTGTTTCAATAGAAACAATAGCTTGATCCATGATGTTTATGAAGTAATCCACCTTAAATCCCTCCTCTCCGAGTAATACTACACTTTCATCATCATTCTCAGTATCTTCATCAAAATGTCTTTTCCTTTTTCTAAGACGCTTTGGCTTCTCATAAAATGTCGGCTCAATCTCCATTTCATTTGCAATTCGTGTAGCTTCAGCTTTTGCTCGCTCAAAACCTGTTTCCCCGTATTCTTTCAAAAATGACACAAGTCCCTTTAATTGACAAATAGCAACATCAATGTCCATGTCCTCTGACTGTAGAATCTTGCTTACTATGTTAAAAGCAGAAAGAAGCTCGTGCCAAATAACCATTCCAAATAAGAAATCAAACCCTCCAATTCCATGTGATTCACTCTCAGCAAGAGACTCAGCCTGACTTCTATGCATCGGATTATCACTATTGTCAGCCAAGTAAAATAAAGCATCTTGTATTTTTGGAGCCTAAAATCGTATAGGCTTCACACTATCTATTCGACTCTCCCATCGAGTTTGTGATAATGGTTTGAGTGTTATGCCATTTACCATCTTTCTAAATATCTCCCAGTTCTTAGATGAAGATGAAAATAGACAATAAATACGTTGAACAATCCCAAAAAATGACACTGCTTTTGTAGATGAGGAAGCCATATCACAAAGCGCGAGATTAAGGCTATGACATCCACATGGAGTATAACAAGCTCTTGGATTTATTTCAAGCAATGCACACCTTTGTATTTTCCTTTCATGTTTGCTCCATTGTCATAACCTTGTCCTTTCAAATCATTAATTTTCAGCTTTAGATCAACTAATACCTCTCGTAGAGTGTCAAAGAGTCCTTTTCCTGATGTGTCTTTTACTTCTAAGAATGTCAGAAAAAACTCCACAACTTTGGGTGACAGCTCCGAAATATCCACGCATCGTATAATAAGAGTCATTTGCTCTTTACGACTAATATCAGGAGTACAATCGAGAATTACCGAAAAGTACTTTGCATTATGAATCTTCTCGATGATCATTAGCTTGATCTTAGATGCAAGTAACTCTATTAACTCATTCTGAATTTTATGACTGAGATAATGATAACGAGTTTCACCCTTTTCAAACCGTCGAATATGCTATTTCATTACTGGATCAAATTTTGCAATCGCCTTAATCATACCCATAAAGTTTCCGTTATTCTCATCACCAAACTTCTCATTTTCTCCACAGAAAGCAATATTATTTAGAGCAAAAGCTTCCACCAACGAAAGAAGCCTCAACAAATTCTCCCTGTCGATTTCTTCTTGCGCATGTCTATCAATAGTGTTATTCCTTTGAAGTCGCAATTCCAACTCTGTCCATCTAGTCATGCATAAAATATGATTATGACTAGTTTCATGTCCTTTCAAACGAGACGAAATGTTTCTCCAGTCACTAAACCCAGTACTTGCCAATATAGGACGATCTTCTTCCTGGCTGAATAGCTTACAACACCAACAAAAAATAAGATCTTTTGATTTTGAATAAACTAGCCATCTCCTATCATGGTTCTCTCCATTGCTCATTTTTCTTGTATAAGATGAATGAGAAAAACACCTACCAATTTTATCTCTTGGAAAGTGATAATCAGCCGCTAATCTGGTCGGAGGACCCTTTTCAACCAGGACATCTCTCTCTCCTTTCTCAATTCTTTTCCAATTTCCAGGATCATTAAAATCTACTTTTGCATGTTTATCATTGATCTTTATGAGATTTTGCTCTCTAACCTCTTCCATATGCTCAAAGCCATCAACACTTTTATGTTGCTCATCGGTATGCACCTCGTTCTCACCATTCTTACAAGCATCAATTTCAGTTTCATTCTCGTTTATCTCATCCTCAACAGCCACATCAACTTTAGAAGTTCGAGATCTTGTAACAAACTGAAGCATAGAATTAGCTTGAGTTTTAATAAATTCGTCACTTTTCTTTTTCTGCATTCTTTTGACTGATCCAGGGACATGACGTCTAGTATTTACCGGAGGCATCTCACTGCAAACAAAGCAAAGCCTATTGTCAACATATAATATTAATAATTAACTAATTAATGAACAAACATACATATTTTAAAACAAAGAGCTACAATAATATTTAGTAAAGGAACCAGATTCTTTTTTGTTTGCTTTCATTTTCAAGCAAGCTTGTTATTCTTAAATTCATGCTTAAAACTCTAATTTGAAGAGTTTTTTTTTTTTTTGTTTTTCGGTAAAACCCAAGCCAAGAGCTATGGTCGTAGATCATCTCAAACTCTCCATTCTCAAACATGTGTTTGAGACGTAGATGTTTAAACGAAGTTATCATCACGGAATAAAAAAAAACTTATCATCCCGAAAAAAAAAAAAACTTATCATTCCAAAATAAAAAAAACTTATTATTCCAGAATAATTTTTTTTTTAAATTATATCTCACATTTTCTGGAGTAGAAAAAAGATTTAGATTCTATTCCGAATTAGAGAAAGAGAGAAATTTGTTGTGTCTTATTTCCTCAATAATGAGAGGCAAGCCCGTTCCTTAAAAGCTTGTAAAGCGTGGGCTTTAGGCCACAATTTTATAAAAAAATTTTAAGGCCACACTTAATGTTATATGCTCATTTTTTTTAGTAGAATTTTCTTTTTTTTTTTTGTTAGTTAGAGTTTAGGCTCATATCATAACGAGTTTTAATTAGAGTAGTATTGTTAAAAGTCCCACATTGGTAAAATGTGGGCATGACTAAATTTTTGTTAAGCTTCGTTTTAGCAACTCCATTAACCCTTCACTCCCTTCTGAACTTGGAAATCTTAACAAATTAGAGTATCTGTCTCTTTGTTGTCATGGTTTAGTTGGTCCAGTTCCTTCCTCCATTAGTAACCTAAGTCTGCTTTCCGGTATTGACCTTAGCTATAACTATCTCACTGATATCCCAATGGTGCAAAATCTAACCAAGCTCACATCTATAGATCTTTCAGTTAATAACTTCTCTGGAACCATTCCTCCTAGTCTCTTCACTTAGCCTTTATTATCATATCTTGTATTGAGTTATACCCATTTCACTGGTCCTATTGAAGTTCTCAACTCCTCTTCGTCATCTAAGCTCGAGATTCTATCCCTTCGCCATACCCACTTTGAAGGAAAAATCCTAGAGCCTATCTCAAAGCTCAACAACATCATATTTCTTGATCTTTCTTTCCTAAACACAAGCTACCCACTTGACTTAAGTCTCTTATCTTCTTTTCAATCTTTGTGGCACCTCGATATTTCCGGTAACAATATATTTCCAGCTAGTTTAAGTTCAGATTTCCCATTGACCTTGGAATGGTTGTTAATGGCTGGATGTGGCATCAAAGACTTCCCAAACAGCTTAAAGACCCTTGTGAACTTGGAGATGGTAGAGCTATCATACAATAGAATCAAAGGGAAAGTCCCTAAGAGGTTATGGAGCCTTCCTCGTCTGAGCACAGTATATCTTCAAAGTAATATGATCACTGGCTTTGAAGGTTCGTCGGAAATTTTAGTAAATTCAGCGGTGCAGCTTTTAAGTTTGGGGTCAAACAGTTTAGAAGGAGCACTTCCTGATCTACCACTCAATATCACCTCTTTACCTTGATCTGAGCTACAACAACTTCACCGGTCTGATTCCTCAATGCCTGAGTAACTTCAAGTATATGAATCTCCGGAACAACAACTTGGAAGGAAGTATCCCAGATAAGTTCTTTTCCGATGCACCTCTAGAGACACTCGACGTTGGCTACAATCAAATAACTGGAAAGCTTCCAAGATCTCTTCTAAATTGTTCTTTTCTGGAGTTTCTAAGCGTTGACAACAACCAAATCGAAGACACATTTCCTTTCTCGCTCAAGGCTTTACCGAGTTTGCGAGTCCTTATCCTCAGCTCAAACCAATTTTATGGTCATATATCTCCTCCTCATCAAGGTCCTCACGGATTTTCCAAGCTTCAAATATTTGAGATATCTAATAACAAGTTTACTGGAAGCTTGCCACCAAGTTACTTTGAGGATTGGAAAGCATCATCACTCAATCAGAATGAATACAAGAATTTATATATGGTGTTTGCCGGAGATACAATCGGTCCAACATCTTTCGCCGAGGCTGCTACAACAGATAGGCACTACAAAG